ATCAAATGTCGTAATGAATGCTCTGTGTGCAACTTCAGCCAGGTATTCCATGTGCCGGGGCTCCTAAAAGCGCTGTAGTGGCGACGCGCCTTACCACAGGACTTTTAGTTGGCCTCAAGTCCAGGCACGCAAGAGACCCTAATTCGTACACATTCGCACGTGAAGAGAGAGTCATTTTACGGGGTGATCTGTTGAGCTTCGATTCTGCGGCCTCACTAAACCATTAGACTACCTGCTTGCCTTGTTATGAAAAAATGCATGATGCCTGGCACCATGCGGAATTCAGCATCGCGCAAATTCAAATTCACAACATATGCTTCCACATTGATTGACAATACAAACGCGCAGTGGTAAACAGGTTGTTACATAATTTTTCAGGTGTGACCGCGCATAGTTGCAAGCATTGCATTAGATGCTATCATATTAAAAAAGGCATTATTGGCATGAATTCTAGCCAGCACGTTTGCGCATCTCATCGAAAAAAATTTGCCATATCTTGGGCACGCAAGTTCTCGTATAGTGCCCGCATCCTGAATGCGATATGGCGCCGCATCTTGGATATGCATATCTAGTATATGCAGCTCTTTCGGTGGCCATCGGCTTTGTGAGCACATTAAACGCGTCAAAATTTGACAAGAAGACCGTATTGTGAACAAATTTCAGTCGGAATGTTTTAAGGAAACCAACAGGTTCCGCCATGTTATAATGAACGAGAGCTGGTCGTGCAAGTATAGAAGTGAAAAAGGCCACTGTTTTGACAGTACTGTTCTTGGACTCTCCACAAATGGTACTTCGATATTTTGATATTTTAGCATCTTCAATCATTTTTATCATTGTCTATGGTGAGGGACGCGTTTGCGTATTTTTTTCCGTTTATCTACGATAATTCTAGGTACTAGGAGGGAACTTCCCATCTCGGTGAAGCCAGAGTTCCATGGAATTTCTTCCCATAGATCGTCCGTCCTAAAGGAGAACCAAACGAGCTATTCTCTCCATCTAGGTGTGGGGCAGGTTGAAGGCAGAGCAGGACGAGGTCGTCGCCCTGCACGGACCCGAATTCACGGAACACGCCATCGAAGCCATGACGTACACGGAGGCCGTCGTCAGGGAGTCCATGCGTGTCCTGCCCCCCGCTGACGGTAGCTTCAAGGTCGCCACCCAGACCTTCGAGCTGAACGGCTACCGTATCCCCAAGGGCTCCACCGTATTCCCGGCCACGGGCGCCACCGCCAAGCACTTCGACCACCGGTGGCCCCTGGATGCGGAGTTTTGCCCCGAGCGGTTCCTGTCCGGCGCCGGACTTGACCCACTGCCGGACCTCGCCTTCGGCCTGGGGGCCCACTCATGCCTGGGGAAGTTCCTGTCCGTCGTGGAGAACAAGGTGTTGCTGGCGACCTTGGCGAGGGGATACGACTTCGCGGTGCTGGACACCGACCCCAGGATCGTCAATGCCCCGATTCCGCAGCCGGTTGATGGCGTCCCGATGGTGGTGAGGAGGCGGTGGTGACTTTGTCATTGCTGAATGTATATGGAGCACCACAAGACCGCAAAGCTCCAAAAGCAGCACCCGGCGCTCACAGGAGTCTGTTTTCATGCCTCAGTTGTCGAACCAGACACGCAAATTGAAGCAGCCCACGGGCGACCTCTGACCTGAGGGTTTACCGCCGAGGCGGATTCAATGGTAGGGTGGAAACGACGGCATCGGGAATTTCAAGCAGGAGTGTCGTCGCCAGCGTTTTCTACCTGCTGGGCGGCCGCAGACGACGCGAGCGCGAATGCTGTTTGAGTTAGCGGCATTTATTTGTGAGTGTCAATACTACTGGTGGGAACATTAGAGCGGAGACGTGATTGCCTCACTCCATTGTTTGGCATGAGATGGACGCCGAATCTGTGATAGTATCCTTCCAATAAGATAACATGCATCTAAAATATGCATCTATGAGCGCCCGTTTCCAAATATGCATATTACGGATATGACGTACGCATCTTGTTCACGTAGCAGTTTTCCAAATACTTGCCACATCAAATTCAAGTCTCGCCATCAGATTGGCGCCGCGGGCCGCTCATCACTTCACATGTCTCCATTTACTTGTTTCCATGTTGTTTTTGTGCCAATTTCCGCCAGTCCAAAGTACTGAATGCCTTTCAGAACCCAGAGAGAGGGGAGAAGAAAGTGAAATGCGACGGCTCGAATGATAGTCCCCCTGCACGGCTCGAACAGCGTGGGAAGGACTCCAGGGCGATACCTCCACTCCACAAAAGCACTGCCAAGCGTCTTCCACACTCAGCAGAATCTCCTGGCAAGTCGGGTGCACAGTCCCCTGTCATGGCATGCTTTGCGATGCCTTTGGACGTATGTCCAAGATGACCTTGGGCGATCTTCTCTGACGCTTCTGGACTTGATTCTGGAGAAAGTCCCGATACGGTCATGCCTCCACAAGAAACCGTGACTATAGGAAGAAATCTTGAAGAATGTGGAGTTTTGTGGAAAATTTGAGATAAATGCGAAATGATCAAAAATGAATTGACGCTTCGTGCCGTGCAATATATCTCTCGTCCTGGCCAGCGGTGACTTAAACTGTCAACTATAATCAAGTTGGAATTTGGTTCACCGCCAATTGGTAAAGAAGATTGATAGCCGCGCGCCAGCTTCCTTGGGGAGAAGATCAACCACTGCGGCAGTCCCGTACAAAACACACCGCTCTGGTAACCAGAGCGACTGGACAGCATACCAGAGTCTGGTATGCCGTCCAGTCCGTTGTAAGCTGCGCTGTTTAGCCTCTCAAAATCCTGCCTACAGGCCGCAGACAACAACCGACACTGCCGGCTGGTCGGAGTCCATTCGTGATGGGACCCAACATGAAAAGGTTCTGGCAGTGTCCGCCCATGGACAGCTCAAGTCTTAGGTGGTCAATTGACCACTGGCGAAAAAAGGACCAAATAACACATCTGTGAACACACATAAAACGCATTTCATCAAAGTTCTGCACGCTGAGAACAAAAAAATAACCCCAACCCGTAAACTTTGTACACGTGTTATTTGGCACTTTTTCCTATTGCAGTTCGCATTGTTGCACTGCATGGGACCTTCTCGAAGGAAACATATCGCTTACTCTTTTGTGCTCTTCCAACATGGGCATTCTGTTATGAAGACTTTTCGAAAACGACACAGGTTTTCAGAAGGCCTTGGGAGCCTGTGGGGGCTGAGGAAGATTGTTAGCGATGCTCAGCGCTCGCGGGAAGGGTGGGAACCACTAGCAAAAAAGGAACGACAAACACTTTTGCAAACACACATAAAACACATTTCATCAAAGTTGTGCACGCTAAGAACACAAAAATAATCCAACCCGTAAACTTTGTACACGTTTGAACACGTGTTGTTTGGCCCTTTTGTCCCTAGTGAACAGATTCCAAAATTTGGAATCTGTTCACAAAATTTGGAATCCATCGATTTGGAATCCAAATTGATGGATGCGAGCCAACATCAATTCCACTGTGCCTACTGGACAATGATGCAACTGCGACCGCAATATCACCAACCCTGATGCAACTCGCCAGTGGCAAAAGTACGCCTAAGCAGCAAAGAAACCAGAATGGAAGCGTGCCTTGATCATACTCATGAGCATTTCTGCCCCAGCGTTGTGACCGTTTCGATTGTACGATTGTACGATTGTACGATTGTATTGAGAAACGGCTCAGATGTAGCTCAATCAACAAGGGAGATGACAGCTGCATACAATGAGTGCATTGAATTTGGTTGATGCCAGTCTACGACATGCAGTGAGCACAACGCAAGGCGCCACCAAAAGTGCGTTACCAGCTTCACTAACTGCTGCTCTTGTTAGGGGAAGACACTGTTTTGATTTTGGTGCGCCTCACCTCAAATCGACGTTAAGCCCAGACCCACCCTTCTCCCCCTGTTAACGTCACTCCTTATCTCGATGCTGGGATGGATCAGCAACATTACCTAACGGTGCCATACAACTTGAAAATAGTTTCAAGCGACACAAACAGTCAACTTGTAATAATTGCCGTGATTTTAAGAGTGGGATGTCAAAAGGCATGATATGTGAATGCAGCAACCCAAAAGCCTAAAAATTGGTCCATTCTAAGGACTTTCTCGAAGATTGAAAGTTTGACGGAAGCTTTGCAACGTGCCACGAGCTACCTGCCGCTGATCAGCAGCGTTTTTGTTCATCTTCCCACCTTATTTTCATTTTAGTGCAATTACATAATTTCTTAGCGTTATGCTCTGGAACCCCCCCCACCCCCCACCCACCCCACCCCACCCCACCCCACTTTACGTCAGTTTGACGTCAAGCGTACCAAAATCAAAATAGTGTCTTCCCCAATGAAGTACTTCATGTTTTTGACTGATAGCGATATTCCTGAAACGTCGTCTTTCACAGTACGCTTGTTTCGAAAAAAGATGCATCGGCTTATCTGGTGTAGACGTTTGATATATCACTGCTTGAGGCTTTTCTGTGTCCCTTCTGGCCATTGAAGATATCTGAAACACATCTGAAGCGCCTGCAGGAGGGGCGACAATGCGCTCTGCGTTTCGACACGCTTTTACACGATAGAGAAAGCATTGTCAAAACAAACAGAAACTGCGGCACCAGCACACAAACTTACCTTCAAGAGCGCGCAGCCAGCACGGTTCGACTGAAGAGCTATTTCACGCTTCAAAGACAACAAACGCCATTGCATCCGCTACTCTTCGTGCTCCGCTGACGCTTGTTGTCCTCCAAGGCGCATGTGCACGATGCAGGGCAACGCAGCAATGCCAATGATGTTGAAACGAGCAGGGCGGACCAGAAGACAACAAGGACAAAAAGGCACCAAAAACAATGTCACAGGGGTTGTTTAAATGGCGAACACAGCACGAACGGCTGTGTTTTTCAGAGCATGCTGTGTCCGACAACAATGTGCAGATGAGTACTCACACCACGTGTGCCCATGGAAGCGCTGAAAGCACAACACCACACCCAAAGCCATCCCTACCGTTCTCTTGCAATGTGTCCGTAGATAGTCGTCATCCTGAAGCCATCCGAGATGCCTTCGCAAGCATGCAAATCCATGTAACGCACGGCCTGAAACTGCCCCACTTGGCAGAAGGGCGCATCCGTGATGTTGTAACAAAAGCCCAGGTCCAGGTATTCCAGTGCCGTCAAGTGCCCCACTCTTGCGATTCCCTCATCTGTGATCTGCGAGCAGCCCCTCACCTCGAGCCGCCCCAGACCCACCAACTTTGACACGTGATCCAAACCCTGGTTAGTGAACCGCTCGCACCAGCCCAAATCCAAACGCCTTAGGGCTGTCAAGTTCCCCACGTGACCCAATCCCACATCTGTAATGTACCTACAACCATGCAAATCCAAGCGCTCAAGACTGCTGAGCCCCCCCACCTGGGCCAAACCATGATCTGTGACGTTTCTGCACCTGTGCAGGTCCAGGTACTTCAGGGAGGTCAGGTCCACCAAAGCTGATGCCCCCTGGCCAGTCATTTCAAGGCACCAAGCAAGGTGCAGGTGCTTGAGAGCTTGCAAGCCCCCAAGGAATGCCAGGTCACTGTCTCTGATTCCAGAGCAGTAGCTCAAATCCAGCACTTCCAGTGCGACCAACGTACCCACATGGCACAAGCCTTCACCCCTGATGTGCACACACCTGCTCAAGCACAAGCGCTTGAGTGCCTTCAACTCCCCAAGCGCCCCCAGACACCCTTCCGTGACATTCTCACATTCGCACAGGTTCAGATGTTGGAGAGTTGACAATGCACGCAAGCACATCACACCTTCATCTGTGACCTTGCAAAATCCTAAATCCAACGACACCAAGGATGTCAAACTTGCAATCGCAGCCAGCCAGGCATCTGTAATACTCTTGCAGCGGGTTAAATCTAGACTTTTGAGACTTTTCATATTGGTCAACAGATTCCATCCCTCTTCTGCATTGTCTCCACAGCCACTCATATTCAAGACCTCCAAGGAGGTCAAGCCCCCCGCAAGTGCAAGAATGCTGTTACCGTGTTTGCTCCACTGACTCATTTCTAAGTGCTTGAGAGCTGTGAGCTCACCCAAACATTCCAGGGCGTGTTCTGTTTTTTGCACGTGCCTGGACACATTCAAATGCTGTAGGGCTGTCAGACGCCCAATCTGCGCCAAACCCTTCTCTGAAATCAGAGGCACCTGGCCAAGCGCCAGGTGCTTGAGCTTGGACAATGTTGCAACTTTGAACAGACCTCCATTCGTGAAACGTGTCCCAACCAGCTCCAAAAACTCAAGGGCTGTCAGTTTGGTCAGGCGAGCCAGGCCTGCATCCCCAACATTTGTGCAAAATCCCAGATCCAGATGTTTGAGGGCACCCAGGTTGCCAATGCATGCAAGTCCCCAATCAGTGACGTGCTTACATCCATGCAAGTCCATGTGCTCAAGTGCTGTCAACTTGCCAACCTGCATCAAACCCTCATTTGTGACGTTCTTGCATCTCCGCAGATCCAGCCATCTTAGACCGGTGAGTATCCCCACAACAACCAAACTCTCATCTGTGATCCTCCAACAATCACGCAAACCCAATTGTGTAAGGCTGGTCAGACTGCGCAAACATGTCAGACTCTCATCTGAGATCTCATTGCAAATCCCCAAGTCCAACCATGCTTCACCTCTTCGCATGGAATCCACCCTGTCCCCACCCTCAAAACTGCTGCCGAACCTCAATCGCGTCAGTCTGTCCAATCTCACCAGACAGGACAGTCCATGATCTAGGCCCGCATAGTACTGCTTGCTGCATATCAACTCTTCCACATTGGGGAATTTTCTGGCGATGGCTTCCACCACGAGGCTCAAGGACGTCCCTCCTGATAGCCTCACAACACTCAGAGACTCTGTTGCCCATTTGCACCAGTGCCTATTTGTAAGGCGGGCTGAGTGGAAGAAATCAATCCTGCCACTCTCTATCTGCCAGGCAGCGCTCACAGCCTCCAGCACAGGATAAGGCAGGTGTCCCCAGTCAGTCTGAGGCAACCAAATCATCATTTCAGCTGCATTGCAAGTAATGTATTCCGCAGCATTCTTGAACTCAAACTGCAACACCTTAGGTACTGATTCTACAAATAGTTACAATACAAAAACTGCTTGGCCCAAAGCAAACGATTGTGAACCCTCTGTTTGGATGGGGCTGCAAGGTACCAGTTTGGGATTTGAATATGGATGCTCCACAGGACTTGTTTGCAACTCTAACAATGGAACTGGATTTGGCCTGACCATTCTGGCGTTAACAAGACAGAACAGGCCTTTCTGCTTTCAAGCCAATCATCAAATGCGAAGCCAAGTCTTGTTCAGTCATAGTTATTTTTATCAGCCGCAGGTCACTTCAGCGCTTTAACAGATAGTAAGACACACAAAAGACACACTTGGCAATCACACAGATCATTTCATTGTGAGCCCCTGTTGAGTTTTAGGGTATTGCTACGTTCAATAATGCCACAGTGTATTCACGGGCTGCATTACTGTGGATCTGTACGATATGCTCTGAACTATTGGGACATCTGAGATGCAGGCTACAACATCCAAAGCGACCTTATTACCCTACCAAAGTGATATCACAGAAGCGCCTCATCCACTCATGTTATCCGCTCGCCACCCTTCCGCACAAAAGCAGACGATGGAAAATGCCAAGCAAATGCAAAAGATTGAAAACTAAGATACACATGCAACACAACGAAAAAACGTCTGTGGTAGCTTTGCATGCTTCCTAATTCTGCAGGTTTGCAACACCTTGACTCCCAATACATTCAACGATGCATCTGCATAGTGCGAACTGCTATTTGCACTTGACAAAAAGTGACGAAATTTCCTAGTACGTTTGTTCAAGTTCGCATTCGAAAGTGGGCCATTGCACCTTGCAGGCTATGTGTGCATCCAAAGCGTATGAGAGGAGCCTATGGGCTCCCCATGCCTATATTCCTTCTTTTGCTTTACTTCGAGCAGACATTTCATCAGGATTCTAAGGCCCTCACACGAACAGGGCTCCGTTCGACCATGCAATGCATTGATGAGCGATCATTAGCCACTTGGTGCTGTTGCCTGACCGGCTTGGCTCACCTGCACCTCTTCCATCGGTAATACTGTCATACAGCGGGAGGCCACTGCAGCAAGAAACAGAGTGCTGTTGCAAAGTCAGATGTTGGAGCGCAGGCCCCAAAGCCAGGTCAGACTGTGCTAAAAAGCACAATCAATAAACATTGTAACCAGAAACTTGTCGTTGGCAAAATGGTGCATAACAGAATAAGAAGTGTGGGAGGCCCGAAACTTACCAAGCAAACGTACGTCAACACCGGCAGCTACAACCAATTCGGAATTGATATTTACACATCGAGGTAGGCCAGCAAGCTCAACACCTAGGCAACTAGCTGTTGGAGCAAGGCCAAGGCATCATCAGCAGTCATTTGAGAGGCTGTGCTGTCAAAGTGAAGCAAACGTCGGAAAGGAGAATGGCGACATGGTTTTCCGCTGAACATGGTTCGGCATTCGCGCTAGTCAAAAATGCCGATCGTTGTCATTGGCCGTCACGTCGACAGGTAGTCCTCCTGGGAGCCAGCTTCGGAGCCACCGATGGATGAGTGTGACGAAACACTGCATGCAACACGGTATCCAGAGCGCCCAGTAGCAGAACCACAAGAATTCTTTCGCTTCTACCGTATACCGGCCGATGTTGTACCGTATGCCAGCCGATGCTTTTTGACGCCCAAACGCCGGCAAGCTCACCGGTTGTGCTCGCAAAATGCTGGGGATGTGCGCGGGGGCAGAAGGCGAGATGGGCCACCTTTGAATCTAGCCCCACGTGGGATGCACTGTGAGAGCATCCCCCGTTCCAAATCCTAGGTTTGCAGCCCCGCTGTGCAGAGCGACGCCTGAACGTCAAGAACTCAGGCATGGGCCGCGCATAGTTCGATGTGCTCGCGCACCTTTGCCGTGGGAGTCGCCTGGGACCTGTCGCCCTCTCGCAAGCCCGGTGGCATCGCCGCCAGGCAGCAGGGCCGGTGCCTTTGGGTGTCCCTTTCGTCGGGAGCCTGTGCCATGCTGGCTTTGTCGCGACACAGGTTATCCCGGTTTTTGAGTACGTTCCAACCTGCTTATGTCATATAAACTAAGTGCCAACGTACTCAAGAACTCCGGACAAAATCCATTTTACCCAACATTAACCCAACATTAAAACCACCCAAAATTAACAAAGCGCCGGAGTGGCATATGTCGTGACGCGAGAAACGAATACGCCCTTGGCTTGAGCACTGAGCCGACCCCGTCGCGCCAACGGCCTCCTGGGGCGCGGATCCGCATCGAAGGCTGCCCGGATTCTCGCGCGCGTCCCGGCTGTGCTGTCGGGGAGGAAGACCGTATCCAAAATGGGACGGGGTTCACTGCTTGGGGGTGCGTCCAGCGCCGACGCCGCTGGCCTGCTGGTCGTTCCATTTGCGGGAGAGATCTCTGACGCGCGGACCTGCGGTGCCACCAGGCGCCCCGGCTGGACGCAGGAGCAGTCGGACTCGTAAAGTGTCGCAGCACATGGCGACGGTTGATGACGGCGTCCAACAGCAGGTGCCCACGCGCGAAGAATCTCAGACATTCGAATCCCGCTGATTGTGATGACTGGCCTAGGGATCCTTGGCTGGCATTCTGACTCAGTTTTTGACACCCTTGCTGCGATTTCTGAGTTTCATCAGGCAAACAGCAATTCACGAGAATTGTCCTATATCCAATTTTCATGTGAGCAAACAAGTGTGGGTTGGATGATGTGCGGCTCGTCGCCTGCCGAAGTCTATCTTTGCTGATTGCATCTTTCGACAATGTAATCAGTTGCGTTAAAAGTAAACCCTACATTCACTGCGATTTCTGGGGTTCCAACCAACAGTACATATTTTGAACTCTTTCAATTTCTCTGATTCGTTTTCAATTTTGGTCGTTGTAGTCTTGTGATCAACTCAAGGATCAGATAGCATGGATCGCTGCTGTTGGCAGTTGCCCAGCCTCTGGGGCATGAATCCACTTGTTTAGATGGGAAATGTGGTAGTCCATTTTCTGTGTTTGCCTATTCAGAGCAGACGGTGATTCGCGCTTTCCAGGCAACATGATGCAGGTGCACATCACCTGTGTGGTTTTGTCTCTGACATGACTTGCAGCTCCTCTGCTTACTTGCGGAAAGTACAAAATGGTGTTAAAGAGTTACGGGGTCGAATACTGGGCAGCTCCTAGCATGTCATTCTGACCTCGCCATGCAAAACCCCCAATCCCCATGCCATCCACCCATGAACACAGGTCCACGCATACCGGAGGACCCATAGTCCACCCAAGGTTTGCTCCCTTGCCCGCCGCGCACCTTTCATCCCCCAACACCCCACAAACGTCTGAATCAACTGCCTGGCTACCGGGTCTATTATGCAACACAAAAAACTAAAAAAGGCCCGGCAAGCCAGACCAGATCTCCTGTCTCCTGCAGCAGTGCACCCCTCACCAGGGCCCAAAGCTGAATTTCTGCACTCCCCCCACAACATGTGACTGAGGTCTCCCCCAACCCAGCACACTGCTCCCACTTGTCCGATTCCCAAGACACCTTAGCCCGCCCAATCCAGTCAGCAGACTAGCCACTAAAGTGACATCGAAATGTCCACTTACTGATGCATCTGAAATGTCTACATACCGATGCCATTGTTCAAGAGCCACTTGCAAAGAGCTGCTTTTATATCCTACTGTTGCCATTCATATTGCCACCAGGCCCAAAGGACCTGTTCGATCACGTCATGTGCCAATCTGTTCCATGTGAAGGGGGTTCAGACAGAGTCTGGACCAGCACAGGCCATTGGAACCACATGCGCCCACCACCATGAGTGCCATGCACGTCCAACGAGGCCCACTGTATGGTGTCCGCTCCCTACTCTCCTTGCTGTTGCATCAGGAACAGGCAAAAGGAAATCGCTGCCAACTAGTGAAGTCAGGCTGCACGAAAAGTAATGCACTGACAGATGTTCCAGGAAAGTATATCAATGGATGTTGGACCACCCTCAGTCTGGGGTACTGATTCTTGTAAACAAACAAACAGAAAACAAAGTTGCATATGGTGCCAGTAGTTGTGCTGAAGATGCTTGAACAGTTTTCTGGGATTGAGCACAGGCCACACAAGCACACTTAGATGCCCTGGAGAACGACCATGAGCTTCCAGACATGGAAGACAGCGATGGCGAGTTTGTGATGGAGCTGGAAGATGGTAAGCACATAAAAGACTCAAATCAGAGTATCACCTGCCTGCCATGCACCATTTATGTGGCCATTTGGCCATCATTCGATGGATCCTTGGGGTTGCACATTGCTGAGCAATGTCTTCAAAACAATGTTCTGCATCATTATCTTCTGCTGCTGCTATGTTTTCCAGTAAGCACTGGCAGCGTGTACTAGCTACAGGAAAATGTAGTACCCGCCTTGATAGAGTTAATGAGATATAAGTCAAATCAGGAAGGCAACTTGATGCTTCAGCCACACTTGAAGGATGGTTCATGTGTTGAGCTTTTTCCCTATGTTTTGGGTTACATGTGCGTATTTACTCATTCCACGGCAGTGATGCTATTTTGTCAAAGAGCTCCTCTATCACCACGAAACAAGGTGATGCAGGCAGATGCGAGCCTGCACATGCAGAGCAGATCACAGAACTGGTCGTGTTGGATCCTTTGCCAGATATGGAGGGTGGCACAAAGAGGCAGATGAAGTTTGGCGGGCGGAAGCGGACAACCCGGAGAATGGTGGCTGAGCGCAAGGGTGCCAAAACCTTTGCAACACTTCTGGAAGAGGTGAATTTCTGCTGTCTGTTTCTAGTTCGTGTAGTTTCTGTGGATTCATTTCCGTTGTGCACATTGACTGGGGGTAGTGTTCTTCTTTTTGCTACACAGCTGCAGTTATCTGGCACAAGCGATATTATGCTATTTCTACTGCATTTTCCCCACTTGTGCATCGGAGTAATGTTCTTCTTTTTGCTACACGGCTGCAGTTATCTGGCACAAGCGATATTATGCTATTTCTGCTGCATTTTCCCCACTTGTGCACCGAACTTTTCACACTTTCTCTCGTGCGTTTGGGTTTGCTTTTTTTCCAACAGACAATACAGTTGAACGGAATCTTGTTGCGTGTGAGATGCGACCAGCCATGAATGTCCGGATGCAAACAAGCCCTTCAGGGCCAGTTCACATTGGTGGACGTCAGTTGTGCATATGGCAGTTGGGCAAGTCGACATTGAACAAATTCACCAATACGTTGCACTCTATATAATGTGAAGGGCACCTGGCATTGCCTAGGAAGGTGAAAGGATAGTGTTGTGTGATGTGTTGACAAAAAACGATGAGGTCAGTACTTATGTGCCCTTTACATTTGACAAACGTACAGCAGTGGGACCAGCAGAAACAACATACAAATTTGCTTGTATTTGCCATCAACAGACAAGGCGGGGTCCCTGCAGCGGCCTGTGGCCACAGCACATGATGATAGGCCTTCTCCCCATGGCGTGCAGTATGTACAGCGTTGGCAGATTTACAACTGGTGCATTGACTACAGTGTGCACAACAGGCTGATCTGGACATGTTGCCTGAGGGCACACCCACCTACTTGACCGCAGCTGCAGGGCCACCGAAATTGTGCGCCCCCAGAAAATTCTGCGCTGTCTGTGGCTGTGCAGCGACGTGAGTACCTCTGCCAGATCGTCGGAAGGCAGGCGATTCGCAGCTGCTGTTGTTTTGGCAGCGAGTTTTGGCCAACGTCTTAAACATGATACGATGACTCCAGTTGGCTATTGTGACCCGAATGCACCCGCAGGCTCCAGAAAATGGAATTTCGTCTGCTGTCACTCTGAGACTGGCAGCACATACCTGTGAATGGTCTTTGGGTAGAGGCATTGAAACCTACATTCAAAGGTGCAAAGGCAAGCAAGCACAACTGTGCTACGCTTCACATTGGCGGCAACTACTGAGCACAAGGCCTACCTCTCTGAAACCCATGGCTGTTTCGCAATTGGCTTGATAGTCTCTTGGCAGACTGTTGCTGATATCTTGTTAGTCTTTTGTGAACTGATCAGTGCGTGCTGCCTGTTCAAGCTGAGCAAACGATTGTGCACGAAGGCGTCTGTGTTCTGCCTTGTTGCACTGATGTCTGTGGATACTGCACATATCAGTATAAGATGACAACTGGCACAACTGGGCTTCCATTTCCTCTGCGCAGAAGGCAGCAAATGCCAACGAGCCTGCCACATTGCCGCCACAGTTTACCAAGAAGTTCGGGTAAATCAAGGACTGACACAGGACTGACACAGGCCACGTCTTTCTTTGTGAATACTGGACACCAATCTTGTTGTGGGATGCTATCCACAGGTACACATGCACACGGTGTGGAGCACGCTGCTGTGGCCGCAATTGCCTTGCCATCCATAAAGACACGCGCTGTTTGAAGTTCATGGCATAGGGCATGAGACAAGAGTTGCGCAGTCGAGAATGGTCATCAAATAGTGATGCAGATCATTGGTGCCAAGATTGATCAGCGAAGCGATTGTTTGTGGGGAAGGAGAATGGAGCGCCGAGGCGGTAGTGGTGGACGAGAATGTTGCTGGAGGACTATAAGCAGATTGCAGTTGCGACTTCAGCCAGTATAGGAAAGGTAGAAACATTAGAAATGCCCATTGTGTTGTGATCAGTGTGACATGATAGCTGGTGTGGTTTTGCGTGCGATGGATTTCTCTACTGCTACTTTTCCTTCAAGTCGTGAGAAGCATAGGTGCGAAATTGCCAGGAAGACCTCTGCTCAAGTCGTGCATGCATTCTGCCAAAAGTGTGTTGCAAGTGTGGCACAATTGTGCAGCACCATATGTGGCTTCGTTTGGCATTCGAAGGGGTCCTTTTTTCTGTCAAAGTTTCCCAGTAGAGAGCTTGCCGACGCTTCCCCGCATTTCTGGGCTTGCAGCAATCCGATGTGCGCCGATAGCGACTTTTGCTTCTGTTTCTCTTGTGCCAGCAAGGGCGCTATGCTACCGAGAATTTCGGAGGTATCAACTGGCGACAGACCTTTAACTCCCAAGCTGCGGCAGACAAGGAAAAGGCCATATCAGCTGGTGGGGCATGCAGGAAAACAGTTATTGGTGTATTGCGGGTGGAAGTTTCTGATTGTTTGCTAAACGTTTCCGAGGCTATCAACAGTAACGCAATGCATATCTGCCACATGTCCCAACATGTACAGCTGTTGCAGCATTATGCTCCAAGCTTCGTGGCAGTTTCGCTTCTTTACCCTGAAAGCGCAATGCGACTGTGCGAGCCTCACTGCCCTACCCTCAATCACTAATTCCACACCTCTCAGCAACCCACGTGCAGTCCGACACCGCACACTATCTACACAGCCCTTCCTATTTGACAATTTCAGCAATGCCGACATCAATCCCGCTCCATTCTGCATCAATTGCCCTCGCGTATAGTAGCCACACAACGCACCCCTCATCGAAGCTTGGCATCGAAGGGTGACATTGCATTGACACAATCGGCTTACCATACTATTTGTCCAGCTCGCTGCCAATACTTGACCCCCGCTTCAAGCGCACACGCCTACTGTGTCGATTTCGACCTTCCTCGCCCCCTCCCCCTGCTTCTCCCCTTAACCTTGGGTATGTACATTCCGCGGCCCCTCCTGCCGAACATCACTTGCCGTGGTATGCAAGCCTCGGCGGTGCTGCAAGCAGTCAGCGGAATCCGTCAGTCATATGCAGAGACAGCCCACAACGCCAGCATGATCTCTGCCAAACTATGTGTCCTCCAGACAAGATGTGGTCCGACAGAATTGCCACCAAAACGCGCTGAGCGCCGCTCTTGTTGGCGTTCTCCTCACAGTTTCACGCAGTTTGCACACGAATCCTAAACCAGCTGTGCGACCAACATTTTCGTGTGCCGACAACGGGAAATGATCGCTTGATGTCGCAACGCCTTTTGCACGCATCTCAACCGTGGCAAACGCAAAATGGAACAAGCTAGCGACACATTTGGCACCAGCATTCTCAGCAACACTGGCCACGCTTCATGAAGCGGTGCTACCTCTTGCATGTGGTCACACTTGCACCGAGTGATATGCCACATGTGTCCATTGGACACATGGCACCAATATCACCCAAATGCTGCAGCCAATTCGTGCCAGAAAGGCATCTCACGTAAAACATATGGCTACGGTCGCTGGCTACCAACAGCTGCACCATCATCCTGGCATCCAGAAACGGGGAGCAGCGCATGGTACACGACGCATGCTTGCTGCGCATCCATACTCGCCTCAATTTCGACAGTGCATCGCCCAATTCATCGACCTCCATTTGGGTCCTCTCGTCGGGGTCAGCGTGTTCAATCTCCATTGCTGCACAACAAAGCAGAACACACCATCATTCCCTCTGTGCCAATGAGCCAGCGTCCCCAAGGACCCACCGAGTCAAATTTGCACGCTCATGCCAACCACCAGGCAGCCATCCTTCAGCCTTGGCTTGCAACACTTTTCCATACTGCAAACGCCGTGAGCAAGCTGTTGGAGAGACAATAGAAACAGCACGCTGCAAGCAACAGCACATCGCAGGAGCCTATGCGAAAATGACAGGCTGTCACGTCACACAACTCAGTTTTGATATTCCAGTCCACCTGATGGCTCAGCTCGAGTGTCATTACGATGCACACGGGGAGGCCTTATCTGCTCTTTCCTCACCCCCAGGTGCATCTTCTCGAAATCAAACCTGCACAAGCCAAGCGGTCGAACATGAAGATACACTCCACCTCCTGGCAGCCAAGCGCTGCGATGTCCTTACAGACTGCCAGTAAACCGATGCTGTTCTCTGGACCTGAGCTCGGCAGAGACGGACACCACGACAACTGTATGGTTCTTCACGTCGCTGCAGAGATAAAGTCATTCCTTCGGCATAAATACTTAGATCGTCCAGTTCAATGCCACGTCCTAATCGCGACAAATTGCTGAAAATCGTGTATCAGAAATAAAACCGTGCTACAATATATCAATTTGTGCTGAGCCAATGGTGTCCTTGGTCCCATTGTTATCTGTTGCTCGTTAGGACCCATCAGCAGACGGAATTCCTCCAATCCACACAACGCCATTGACAGGAGAACTTTGCACACTGCATTTCGGTGTGCACTTGAGACGGCCCAGCCAGCCACATGTCCAACAGCGCGTGGCGATGTCTTTCAACGTCCAGGTGGGCGCATGTGCAGCAGGACAGCCCACTCCATAGCCCCCTTAGTCCTGTTATTGAGAAGTGTAGAACCCTCTTCCTGGAAAGTTGCCCATGATGCAAGGCTTCATCATTCCAAGCAATGCAGAAATTGCCCACCACCCTATGACCAAGGAACAGTGGCAGCCAGCATGCATCAGCGCAGTCAGGTGCATACTCACCCCTTTGGGAAACAATGCACGTCTCTCAGGTGCTGCTTGCGCTGCTGAGGGCCGCAGAACTTCTTTCCGCAGCCCTCCACCAGGCACTCAAACTGCCACACAAATGGCAATGTCATGAAACTGCAGCAACTCCCATGCAAAACCACACCGGTAACATTGGCAAAGCACGACGCGCCACTGGTCTTGCAGCTACATGACGTTGTCGTGCACCGATAGCATGCGCGGTTGTCGTTCATTCTGACATTCCACCTCGTTCTTTCTCCCACCAGACAGCCCTTTGTGTAAATGTGGAATCAGAACACCATCAATACCACTGAGCACCTCTTAGTATTGGTGCTGAGGTACTAGGCCTGATTGACACCAGCAAGTACATGTGCTCCTTTTGCATCAATACCCATTCATCACAAGATAATTCACTGGGCAACATAGCTGTGGCCATTCACTATCGCCCAGGAAAGTGCATATCGGGATGAAAACAGATCAGTGCTATGCCCCCTTCTCTCTGTGATATTCGCTCCATCAACGACTTCGTGAGAACACTGTACAGTGTCAACACGAAATCGCTGATCGATATACATGCATGTTCTATGGTTCAACAGGGAGCTCTTTCAACAGTTGGCGTTTGGGCTTCGGTATATAACCAATATAGCATTAAATATAGTGAGCTTACAGCGCTCAGCAACAAAGGCTACCACCCTCAATTACCCGCAACACACAATTTCCAGCACACGCTTTAAGTGCAGAGCTTCAATGCAGAAGGAAAGGACCAGTCTCAGAAAGAATAATGCAAAGGGATCCCTGTCCAACAGTACGAAACGACTGACACATGAAAAAGAAGCCCCCCGGGTGTGCCAGCACTCACCACACACAGTTTTTTGGCTGCCTGAGCGGCGAAGAAGCTGTCATGCGCCTCCGAGAGGTGCAGGCTCAACAGGTGCTCCGTTGGAAGTCTACGGTGGCAGATGCTGCACTCTGGCCTGATGCAAACAGCTGTCAATGAGGCGATAGTCAACACCAGACACAAGTGAATTATGGGCAGGTAAAACGCCCAACAGCGACGGGCCCCAATTGGACGACTGAACTCGAGCTCATGGGTCCCACTTTGTACTTGCAGCATACTGTCAAAGCCTGCTTGCCAAATAGTTGTGGGCAAAGAGGGGCATTGGTGGCAGTGCTGATGGGAAACGACTCACCAGCAGGTAAGGGGGAATCCCACAGGGACACAGGACTTGGTAGACGCACTCTATGCACATTAACAACCTAAACCCCACAACACTGATTTCACCAGTAATCTCACAGTTTCCAGCAAAAGTTCATGGCATTAGTATTCAGTCAGCAGTGCATGATAGGAACAGCGAGCAGTGCCTACTGCTCTTGTCAAGGACTACCTTAGACTCAGGTTAGTGGGGATTTCCGCGATCTGCGCCACTTCCTTCAGCAACTTCTCTTCATCCTCCTTGGACAGTGTCCGTGGACCCTTCACATAAAATCCAGCCCAGGAGTTACATTCAGCAATCTGCCCCAACTGTAGCCATCAAAATGTCATATATTCACAAACATGTTTCAATTCATCATTCACCACATCGCAACGGCCTTTCACCAATCAGGCGATGCTGAGTGCAGATTTCGGTTGGGATTGGGACAAAAGTGTGCTATGGGTTCCTTGACTGTGGAAGCGCAACTGAAGAAAAGAATAACAAAGAAAGGAAAGAAGAAATGAAGACAAGAAATACTACAAGTCCCAATTGCCAGCTTTGTTGACATGAACTGCATTTTAGGCACTTGTCGGATGAGAACCACGCCGCCAAATCATCAGCAGCACAGCATTGCCAACTGGTCGTGGCTGACACTGCATTGACAGTGGCTATAAGTGAGGTGCTTGTTACAATTCCAGAGTTGAGCAAGCACCATTCTTACCACCTTTCTGCTTTTACGGTTATGAGTTGGTACACATATTTGTGTTCAACAAGGTGATGCACTGGAGGTCGTTTCCAGCTTGTGCCATGCCCTGCAACATACAGCTCTCTTGCTTCCAAACCCATATATTTGGAAATAGGGAGCTGTAAAGTGAAGCCAGAGTGCCCCTTGGACGAAACACACCTGCTGTGCAAGCAGCTCACGCTCCACATTACCTGCAGCACAAATCGAGGTGTTCGCTAAGAGGGCTGCAGCAAACGGGTGAATGGCAATGCAGCATGCATGCCAGCGTTTTGCTCAAAAAGGATTCTGGGACTGCGGCAATGCTCAACAGTGTGACAGACGCATTCCACTTCTTCGGACCTGGGCTATTGGGTTGCATGGCCAAATGGGGGGCGCATGTCACGTAGTTCAAAATAGTTGCTGAAATGACCTGAACCTGTTGACATAAAAATGTGCAGTGATTGAACAACAGTCTTTGTGTATGTGCCAGGTGCACAAAAGATCTCTGCGGGTCTTTTCAGGGATGTTGCTAGATCGTGCGGGGGTTGCTGGTTGGTGTCAAGTTGCACAAACAAAGGCAAAAACAATCTAACTTACGTGGAAGGTATGCTGAGAGTATCCAGAGGCGGAGGCTCTTACTTGTGCAACAGGTTTATAATGTATGGACATGTTCGGTACATTTCCATTGTCGATGTGGTCGTGAACATCTTGGCAAGAATTTTCTGGAGCTACTGTTGTTATTGATTGGATAACATGGGGAGTCACTACCTAACAGTGCTATGTTTCCTTCCTGAATCACTGGACCCCAAAATATTGCAACTAGAAGCTCGTCCCTGGAATGGAGCCAGCATCTTCCACTTGCAATAAAGGTGGAAAGGCAAGAGAGGCACATATGTAACTGATTGCTGTCTCTTTCCATCAAGAAGACCCGGGGATCAGCACTTTGAGCCCTGGATAACTCTCGCCCTTTTCCTGTCTGATCGCTGGCATTCATAGGAGCTATGGTGCTGTGGATTCGATTCCATCACTCAGCCTCCCAGCGATCAGATACTGCACAATGCGACGCTGTGATAAGGGAGCCTTTCTTATCTATGACAAACAGTAGACCCTGACTGATGCTGGTCACTGCTCCAAGTGGCGAACATGAGGGGCACTGTGTTCACGTGGGTGACACTGGACCCATTCCCAAAACTAAGTGAGGATAAATTCCTTGTTAATAATTTCCTTATTAAGTTGCTTAGACGTTCAAAGGCAATATTCAAACAAGGAATTGGCCTGATTCAGCGTTGAATTCTGCAGTTTTGACAAAT